CTCCCACCGACGCTCAGGCACAGCCGCAGCAGTGTGTACCATCTACAAGATGCCCTGCAGAGACTCACCGAGGCTCCTTAGACAGCACCTTCCAAACCCCACGGCCCCTTCCATCCAGAAGGACAAGGGGGGCAGCAGGTACATGGGAACACCAGCCCCCCCACCCCCTGCAAGTTCCCCCTCCCACCACCGAGCCACTCCCCATCCTGACTTGGAAATATATCAGCCGTTCCTTCAGTGTGGCTGGGTCCGAATCCCTGGAATTCCCTCCCTAAGGGACACTGTGGGTCTACGCTACAGCACATGGACTGCAGTGGTTCTCCCCCACCTTCTCAAGGGAAGGGGGGCAACCAGGGACGGAGGGAATAAACCCTGGGCCCAGCCAGCGATGCCCCACACCCTGTGCCAACACGTCTCTCCTCGCGTTGGCCCCTCTGTGTCCCTGTTCTTAGGGGGTGATCTCACCGCCAGGGTGCCCTCCCGTTCCCTCGGGCCTAGCCCTCCAATGTGAAGCCTCGCCTCTTACCTCCTTCTCCTAACCCCCTGGCCCAGGGACGGATGAGGAGCGGATCGCCGTGGTGACGGCCAGTCGTCACGGTAGCCGGCCCGAGACGTACGGAAGAGAGTGCACGTGCGACGTGGACGTGGTAGTGAGCACCGACGATGGGGTCATCATGGGCCAGGACTTCACTGTGACCATCACCGTGACCAACACCAGCTCGGAGAGCCGCTCGCTCACCCTCCTCGTCCAGGCTGTCGTCATGTATTACACTGGAGTGGTCAAGGGCACCTTCAAAAAGGACAAGCACGATGTGCTGCTGGAGCCTCACAAAGGTAGGCCTCAGGCTTCGGGCCTTGGGAAGTAGGCCTCAGGCTACGGGCCTCAGGCAATGGGCCTCAGGCAGTAGGCCTCAGGCTTCGGGCCTCAGGTCTTGGATAGAAGGCTTCGGGAATTAGGCGTCAGGCAGTAGGCTAACCCCCTCTGTCTCTGCCCCACAGAGAAGGAGCTGGTCCTCCTGTTCCAACACGACGATTACTTGGAATTCCTGGTCGATCAGGCTGCCATGAAATTCACTATCACCGGCCGTGTCAAGGAGACCGGCCAGGCCATCGTCAAGCAGCACAACTTCCGCCTCCGCACCCCAGACCTCCGTATCACGGTGAGGGAACACCCTCCTCCATCTCTCCCTCCCTCATAATCCAACCACCCTCTTCAAATTCACTCACTCCTCACAATGTGGGGACTCTATTCTTTCCTCATGGCAATGACTGGCTTCTTTCTCCCTCTCTCACTCTCTCCATCGCTCTCTCCCCCTTACCCTCTCTCTCCATCGCTCTCTCTCTCCCTTTCTCCCCCCCTCTCTCTCATTCTCCAAACCTCCCTCTCCCTTTTTCCTTCTCTCACTCTCCATCGCGCTCTCTCCCACTCGCTCTCTCCCCCTCACCCTCTCTCTCCTTTGCTCTCTCTCCCCCTCACCCTCTCTCTCCTTTGCTCTCTCTCCCCCTCCCCCTCTCTCTCCTTTGCTCTCTCTCCCCCTCACCCTCTCTCTCCTTTGCTCTCTCTGCCCCTCCCTCCCTCCCTCTCCATTGCTCTCTCGGCCCCTCCCTCCTTCTCTCTCTCTCTCCATCACACACTCTCCCCCCTCACCCTCTCTCTCTCACTCTCCCTCTCACTCTCCATCACTCTCTCTCCCCCTCTCTCACTTTCCATTGCCCTCTCTCCTTCTCTCCCCCGTCTATTTCTCTGTTCCTCCATTTTCCTGTCTCTGTCTCTCCCCTTTATCTCGCTCTCTCTCTCATTTTCTCTCTGATGTCTGTTTCCTTTGCTTCATCTCTCTCTGTCTGTCTCACTTTCTGCCTCTTTTACACTCTCACTGTCTCTCTCATCATTTTGTTTTCCTCTAGCATTTTCTCTCTCACTGTCTCTCTCCCTCATTCTCCTTTTTCTCTCTCTCTCTGCCTCTTCACTTCTCTCTGTGTCGCTCTCTGTCTCTCTCACGCTCTCTCTCTCTCTCTCTCAGTCCATCTCTCTCTCTCTCTCACACAAACACACACTCACTCTGTTTCTCTCTCTCTCTCTGTCTCACACACACTGTCTCTCGGTCTCTGTCTCTATCTCTCACACACTCACTCTGTCTCTCCCTCTTTCTCTTGGTCGCTCTCTCTGTCTCTCTCTCACACACTCACTCTGTCTCTCCCTCTTTCTCTTGGTCGCTCT